CTGAAATGCACATGAAGAAGAAAGAGAAGTGGGGAGAGAAAGGAGGAAGAGAGGGAGAATAAGAAGGAGGAGGAGAAGAGCAAGGGAAGAGAAGGGAGAGAGAGAGGAAGAAAGAAGAAAGAACAAATGAAAATTCAAAACATCCCAAGTGCTCTTCACTGAGTTGATATTTTATAATTCTCAGAGTAAAGCACCCTGCCACACCTGGGCTTGGAAATACTCTGAAAGTTCTAACAATTGAATAGAAGCCATCTCAGTATTACAAACCTTGCTTCTGGCCCCGGGGAGCTGCAATGGCCTGACGAAGACTGGCTGGGGAGGCCTCCTGGTGTGGTGGACAAACTGGAGCCATATGAACCTGGCCTTAGGCTTAGATGCTGTCTAGGTATCCCTATGAAGTCAAGCCTGGTTTCCCTACTCATATCAGCGCAAGCTAATAGCCTTCTATGAGGCCTGGGGTGGGGGATTGGGGGGTTCAAAAGTAATATTGATAGCTCTCAAGGACGCTCTGGCTGCCTTCCCCCACCCCCAACAACCATCTCCTTTGAGGCTGGTACTCTAGTTAGCTTCTTTTACATATGAGGACCAACTCCAATATTCTTGGGCTTCCCTTGTGGCTCAGCTGGTAAAAGAATCCGCTTGCAATGCAGGAGACCTGGGTTTGATCCCTTGGTTGGGAAGATCCCCTGGAGAAGGGAAAGGCTACCTACTCCAGTATTCTGGCCTGGAGAATTCCATAGACTTATAGTCCACGGGGTTGCAAAGAGTCAGACACGACTGAGCAACTTTCACTTTCATGTATGAGGAACCTGGGGTGCGGAGAGAGACCTTTTTAGAGACACGCAGCTGATAAACCGCAAAACCAAGGTTCAAATTGTCGCCTTTCTGCCTTCTGAGCTTAGTCAGGGGTTGCATCCAAAGTGGTTGGGAGTGGGGGCGGGGGAGGCTCACATAAACTCCTCATTGCTCCAAAGCTTGCAAACCTGTAGGCAATTAAGCAATAAGAGCCTACGCAGAAGGCGGGCCACCGGTGGAGGCGGAGCCCTCATCGGGCTCCTACTGCCATCTTGTGGCCCTTCCCTGTCACTGCTGTTCTCATGAGCTGGGCTGCCTGGGCATTTCCTGCTTTCTAGGATTTCCTGGACCCCCAAGCAGGGCATGTGGCTCCTGGGAGGTAAAGAATTATCCGTAACTGCTGACCCATAACTCTCTGCGCCTACATCACTAGTTCAAGTCCTAACTATCTCTCTGACTGGAACCACCTGTCCTTTGCTTTGCCGAACTGCTCCCACTGAGGAATGTTCTGGGCCTCTGCTGAAGACTCCAGCCCTGACCCATCTGTCTTCCCTCCATGCATTGGGCATCTAACTTCCTCTTGGAGCCAGCTTAGATTTCATGGCTCATCATCTCAGTAACGTCTTGACAATACTCTCAGTTCTCACACCCCTCGACTCCCAGTGGCACTCCCTACGCCTGAGTGGATGAGCCTTCTTGCAGGAAGTCCCCCGCAGGCCAGTGGCTCCACTCTGAACTCGTTACCAACCTGGGCTGGGCGTCCAGGAGTCTGGTAGTCTCATGGCAGCCCTAGCCCCTGCTCTCCATAGAAACGGCTGCCATTTTCCTTTTCCATTCATCTCAAACATCTGAACACATCCCACCCTGAGATGGCCTTGCCTCCTGCCTCCTACCTGGCAGAGAAAACAGAAACTGTCAGGGAGGAACTTCCTCATTTCTCAGCACCAAATATGCCCCCCATCTGCTCCTGTTTTTCTCTTTCCAGTTACAACAGGAAAGTTCTCTCTGTCCTAGGTCTGCCCTCCCTGGCCCCAGATCCTAAACCCTCTCCTCCCACCAGCTCAGGAGCCTTTCAGGATCCATCAAGCTTTCTTTTTCTTACACCTTTAGTCTAACACTCCTTAATGCATTCTTTCCACTGCTTCTTTTGTTTCCTTGTTTGACATTTTCTGAGGGAAGTATAACCTACAAATTGTAAGTGTAGGGTTTATGAATGACCACACAATGGATGTATTTATGCCATCAACACCTGGATCAAGAAATGGAACATTAGTAAGTGACACAGGCTGGAACCTGGGAAACTTTGCTGCAGTGCTTTCACCTGGATATATGTTTTTTTGTATCCTCGAGCAACAGAATACCAAGAAACTACAAGGGGCTAAAAAGTAACTGCATGCATGCACAATTGGGGCAAATTATGAGCAACAAGATACAAAAAGGCCAAAATCCAATTGCCACTTCTGAGGTGCCCAGAGAAAAAGCAGGATACTGTGCATGATACCTGCACACAACATCTCCAAGGGGCGGCGGGACACCTAAGTCACCTTTAGGCCCCACCTATTGATACACCCCCGGCCTCACCGCATTGAAAGAACCAGCCTGCCCTCCATGGAGAATGAGCAAGGGTACCTGTTATTTATTGTCAATCCTTGATGCTCACTGGAATTCCTCACCTGCTCTCATCAATTGTTATTGTTTAGAGTCTGGCTTCCTTGGTAGCTCAGCTGGTAAAGAATCCGCCTTCAATGCAGGAGACCCCAGTTCAATTCCTGGGTTGGGAAGATCCCCTGAAGAAGGAAAGGAATAGCCCATTCCAGTATTCTTGGGCTTCCCTTGTGGCTCAGCTGGTAAAGAATCCACCTGCAATGCGGGAGACCTGGGTTCGACCCCTAGGCTGGGAAGATCCCCTGGAGGAGGGCATGGCAACCCACTCCAGTATTCTTGCCTGGAGAATCCCCATGACAGAAGAGCCTGGTGGGCTGCAGCCCACGAGACCGCAAAGAGTCGGACACGACTGAGCGACTAAGCACAGCACACAGCACAGAGTCCAAAGGTCTCAAAGAGTAGACACAACTTAGCAACTAAACACCACCACCAACAAAGAGTCTAAGAACCCAGGTCAGTAACCCTGGCACCCCAGAAGCTCCTGTGTTCCAGTTACTGTGGCTGCAAAATGAATGACCCCAAAATGTAGTGGATAAAACAACTGTTTATTATATTACAGATTCTGTGGGTCAGGAATTTGGTTTAAGCAACTGGCTCAAGGTCACTTGGAAAGCAGATGATGGAGTCTGGGTTCAAGCCTAGGGTAGGCAGACCCCTGAACTTACCCCCTTAAAGCCATAGCTGAGATGGGGCTATGGGTAAAATAACTTCTATTTCCTGAGCCTCCTCAGTGCCACACCTCGTGCTTGGCACCTCCCAGGTGGTGGCTTTTATGCCTCCCACACCCTAGATGCGGGCACCATCGTCACTCCCTGTGGGAGTCAAAGTGGCAGAGGCAGGTGAGCAGGAACCCAGGGAGCACTGAACCACATGCGGACGCTGAGCCGCATCACGTGAGGACCTGGGAGCATTTGGTTGGGGCAGAAGTGTCTCCAGGGTGGACCATGAGGGCTGTTTTCAAATGTTTGAGAAGTTTTTAGGGACTAGAAGACTTTTAAAACTTATTCTTGTTGGTTCTTGAGGGTAAAATCAACTCCTTATGGTGAAAGTAAGTCAGCATTCAAATGTCAGCAATTATTATTGTTAATAAGTGATGAGTTCCCCAACTCTGAAAGTATTCAAGCAGAGATTGGTCAAGCCCATGTGTAGGCCATTGTGAAGGGAATGCTGGCATCGGGTGAGGGTAGATTAGCGAATGGTGAAGAACCCCAGCTCTGCCATCCTAGATGTCTGTTAAATGGATCCCAACGAACCCCTGCAGTCCGCAGGGACTGCCTCTGCCCAGTGTAACCCCCTTGGGTAGTCACAGTGTTTACTGGTGTGAGTGCAGGGCATCCGTGCCTGAGTTCCTGGTCATGGGGACATCGCTGGGACCTGAGGGCTGACAGCTTAGCCCTGCCCTGGGTCTCATCAGGAGAGGAGCAGCTGAGGCTGCCATCGGGGGAGGGATGAAGGAGGGGGGCTGGGACAGGGGCCACTGTCCCTCTGACACAAACTGAAGAAAGCAGCGCCCAGGCAGGGCCTCTGGCAGTCTGCAGAGAGCTCCAGGGGCTCAGGAGCGTGTCCTGGCTGCCCCTCTCAGCCTGGCTTCTGTCCAGTCCTTGTGTACCCACTATAAGAATTTGCTTTTCATTCTGTTGGGCTGTTTGAGGGCCGAGTCCAGGTCTGATTCACCCCTGTGTACTGTGCTGTGTCAGTCTATGGATCAGATCAATAAATATTGATTGAATTTCCAAATATCCAGACCGTCTCCTTGAGGAGCTTCTTGGGCTGAAGAACTGGGATGGTAGATTCAAATCCCCTGCAGTGTGGCCTGGGCTGGGCCAGCCCTTCACGACTGCAGGAATAGCAGGCTTACTGGTTACCCCTCCCACAGACTCTCCCCCACCTCCCTCTCCCAGGGTAGGACCCTTAAGGGGACACCAGCCCCCCCATACCCTCACATTCACACACAAACACACACAGATAGGGCCCTGAAGCCACCCCAGCACCTCTGGCAGACAGCAGCCTTTACATCTGGCCCATCACCTGCTAAAAGGACATCAGCACCTTCTCTTTGTAAAAAGTTTCATTAAAAAAAAAAAAGTTGCTGCAGACTTTTGCCTAAAAGCATCTTCCACAAAATGCGTAATTGAGAGACTGATTTAGAGACACCAACCCTAGTGTTCTAAAACATCATTATTCCATAAAGTCTCTGCGGAACCCCCAGGCTTAGTTGGAGCTTCTGTGGTCCCCTTGCCCATCTGTTTCCCTGTCTCCCCCTCGGCCATGGCTCTGAGGGCAGTGTGTGCTGCCCGGACCTGGTACCCAGCAGTGATGGGCCCTGTGCCCAGTGAGATGTGCACCAGCACGGGGACACGCCCTGCCCGACCAGTTTGTGTTTTGAAGTATCATGTCCTGGCGATTCCTCATCTCCTGTCCCTGTAACGATGGTCCAGGGCAGGGATTATGGTTAGAAACGGCAACCTGTCGGAAACGGTCCCTAGACTCCCCCGCGTCCATTTGGAGAAGGCTGAGGTTTTGGTGTGAGATTCGTGTACCTGGTGCAGGAGGCGGCAACCGGTTTGATGCCAGCTTTTCAGATGAAGTGACAAGGGTGGAGGTTGAGAGGAAGATATCCGGAAGTTGGCAGCTGGTAGTGGTTGGCAGAGGCAGTAGAGGGGGAGGGCACGGCGGAGGTGCAGAGAGCCGGCAGCACCGCCCCCAGTGGCCTGTAGAGGGCGCTCCCGGGGACTTAGTTAAACGTGGTTGGCGTTCCAAGATGGATCGGTTGAGCCTTAGCAACCAAAATGAATCTGTCTTAATAACTGCAAGGGAGAGAAAAGTTAGGGACCTCCGTGGAGACATCGTTAAGGGAGTTTGCTATCCAGCGGGAAAGATGGTGTCAACAAAATGAATATCTGAGCAGTTATTGGAAAAATAAAGCTAGTTCATATTTATACCTTGAGGGGTTGAGACTCTTGGATCAAACCCATTATATTTAAATATTTACATGTACAAATATATGTGTGCATATGCATAGATCTTCCTGAGGGGATATGTAAGAAAAGTAACAATTGCCTCTATGGGGGAGGACTGGGAATGGGGAGGGTGGCAGGGGAGGGGTGAGACAGCAGGAGGTAGGGTATCTACTTTTCACCTATTCTTTTGTACCTGAATTTTTAAACCATAGGCATCATAGCATTTTGAATTAAAATGGGCAAAGTTTCAAAAATTTGCCAAACAGAAATGGATGAAGTCTTTGTGAGTCTGATCTTAAGCTGTCAGCTGGGGTTGGAATGGACTTTCTCTCCTTCTGGCCCCTAGTGAAGGAAGGGGCAACTGGTGAAACCCGAACCCAGCAACCCTTCCAGGGCAACAGCCGGTGGCCTGAAGATTGTGCCTGTGCCAGGCTGGCTGGCATGTGCGGCAGCCTTGCCACCTTGCTGCTCTGCTCTAGGGCATCTCACAAGGCTACCCGGTTACAAGGGCAGAACTGGCCTGTCTTCTGTCTGCCCCTGGTTTTCCATCATCTGCCCTGGGACAGCGACAGAGGAGGGTCCAAGGGGTGGGGCTGTCACCTCCCTTCCCCCAATTACAGAACCACACCAGCTGGAGGAAGCTTACAGAGGAACAGGTCTAAGGCTGCCATTTCATGGATGGGGAAACTGAGGCTTGGGAAGGAAAAGTGACCCCCACAACATCAGGACCAGAATCCAGGTCTCCTGTCTCCCAGGCTGAAACTCTGCACCCCACCAAGGAGCAGGTGGCAATCAAGGCTTTCCTGCTTAGGTGATGGGATAGATTTAGGGGTTTTAAATGGGTGGCTCCTGGGGGGACCACAGATAACCTACCTGCCTATGGAGGCTACTTCCCACCCCCTCCCTGGGCTGCTGCCCACCTCAGGCTATATCCTCTTTCCTTTTGTACACACACACAGACACATATGATGGCTCTAAGTACTCCTGGACTCCAGGAAAGGAAGACAGTCTGAGTCGTAGGTCTATGTACGTGTATGTATATGTGCCTTGTTTATCCCGCCTTCCCCACTAGGCCATAAGCTCCCAGGGGACCCAGCCCACAGGTTCTCCCTATCCCCAGGGGGACAGCCAGGCCATCCTTGGCACACACCCCAGAGTCACAGGTCCCTGCAAGTCAGAGCTGTCAGGACCCTTCAGGGCATGAAAAGTTTAGAAAAGGGTCCCACAATAGATAATAAATAAAGACCTACTGTATAGCACAGGGAACTCCACTCAATACTCTATAATGACCTGTAGAGGAAAAGATTCTGAAAAAGAATGGATATATGTATAACTTATTCACTTTGCTGTATACCTGAAACACAACATTGTAAACCAACTATACTGCAATAAAAAATTTAAATATAAACATAAAACGTATCCCATGGCCAAATACATGTGGTACACCCTCTATTATGAGACCGGCATCTTCACACAGGCCTTCTCAGGGCCTTTAATGTGCTACGACTCTCTACCATGAAGCCAGAGGGTGCTCTTACCCCTGAATTTAGAGATTGCAGAATTCATCTGCAGAATAGGCAATGCGTTCTGGAAAATGCTGGGACGAGACTCAACTCACACAGGGAGAGCTGAAGCCTACAGGGCAGCTATGATTGTATGGTGCCTTGCTGTAAATTAGAAAAAAAATTCCCTCAAAACATTTTCATCTATAGGAAAATTAACACCAACAGATTGATGTTATTAGAACAAGGCCCTTTACAGACCTCTGCTGGAAATATCTCATAGTATAATAAATACACAAATCTTCAATCTGAGTGGGAAAGGCACCACCTTCCCCCTTAGATATGGCTTTCTTGTTCAGTATGTAACCTGCCAACCATCATGGCAGCCATGGGCCCAAAGTCACACAAGCCCAGCCTGCCCATCATTCCCTTTCTGCTGGCATGATTTTGTCTCAGGTGAGTGCTCTCAGCCGACCTCAGCCTCGGCCCCAGCTGGGAAACATGCTTCTGAATGTCTCGCAGGCAGACAAGGACGCTGAGGGCTTCACCTCTGTTGTTCCTCTCACTCATCACCTAGCCCATGACAGGCTCAAATTACTGACCCTGAACACATCCCACAAATGCTTACACAGTGAGAGCACTGGCTGGGGAGCAGGGATGTGGTCAGAGTCAGCATGGGCTCCAGCTTGCTGCGTGGCCAACGGGGAAGTTCTCAGTCCTCTCTGGGCCACTTTTCCCTTGTATGAAATTAGGCAGTTGCACTTGATCATTTCCAGGAGCTCAGAGAGCTCTGGCAATGACCCCTTGTCCCCAAACTCATGAAATTTTGAGACGAGCAGGAAGATCATTCCCAACTGCTGACAGAAAGGCACTCAAAAAGACAGCAGACTACAACCTGAATTTTTTATTAGACTAGGAAATATAATTTATTTCATAAAAATTAATTTTGTTACAATAGGAATGCTAAATGTTATTTACAGGTTGTAGTACAGAATAAACAGAGGTGGGACTGGGGCCAGCCCGGCAGCCCTCGGGCATATAACCATGTCCACTGCCCAGGCGGGTGGTACAGCCCTTGGCCCGCAGGAGAGCTGCTCCCTGCACCCAGGCTCCTGGTCACCTCTCCCCAGAGGGCCTGTTAAGGGAACTGGCTCAGCTGCCTGGTTGCTGGGGGAAGGAGACCAGAGGGCCTTGGAACATCCAGGAGAGGGGAGGAGGGCCCCTCTGGAGCCCGGAACCCTACGGGAGAAGGCAGAGGGAGAGGCACGTAGAAGAGACACCGACTGACCCTGTGTACTCAGAGGCAACCTCCAGGCGGCCCAGCGTGGACTCGAGGAGGGCACACACGCACACACAGGTGGGGACGTGTTCCCGGAGAGGCACGCTGATGTGCCCACAGATAAAAGCACATGCATACACGCACAGATGTGCAAGCACACCCCAGAGACGAGAGAGACGTCAACACAGCGCTAGGCCCTGCAGCGGCACTTAATCTGTGGCTCTCAAGGTACTCGGGCTGCGCGGGGCTGCCTCTCAGGCCTGAATAAGCTGAGAAACCTCCATGCCACCCTGAGGCGGGCAGTCTGCAGACACAGTCACAGTGGCCCAAGCAGATTGATGGAGCCAGCAAATCCTTTCCAGGCTTTTCTTATAAAGCTGGACAGTTTGAGCCCTCCCAGGAGGCTTTAGCCAATTGGTTCTGTGCTCTAGGCCCTGGTACACAATTTCTGGAAGTCAGGTCAGAAATGGCACCTGGGTGGCTGGCCTGGCCTCATCTAACAAGAGCTCCTGGGCGCTAAGGAAGCAGGTTTCTCAGGGTGGGGCAGGGAAGAGGGGCAGGGAGGGAGGAGGGAAGGGAGGAGGGACAGGGAAGGAGGATGGAGGTGGGGCAGGGAGGATGGAGGGAAGGGAGGGAGGAGGGGCAGTGAGGATGGAGGGAAGGGAGGAGGGGCAGTGAGGATGGAGGGAAGGGAGGACGGGCAGGGAGGATGGAGGGAAGGGAGGGAGGAGGGGCAGGGAAGATGGAGGGAAGGGAGGAGGGGCAGTGAGGATGGAGGGAAGGGAGGAGGGACAGGGAGGATGGAGGGAAGGGAGGGAGGAGGGGCAGGGAAGGAGGGACAGGGAGGGGAAGGAGGGACAGGGAGGAGAGGAAGGGAGGGAGGAGGGACAGGGAAGTAGGGGCAGGGAGAAGGGCCATGGCAGACCACAGTCAACTTCAACCCACCAGGGTTCACCTCAGAAGCCTAAAATGATGCATCAGAGACCAAAGGGCCTCAGACAGCAGTTGTGGAGGCTTCTAGGTCTAAAAAGGAAAGAGGCCTTGAGAAGGCAGTCACACGCCTGAAGTCACACAGGGGCCTCAGCAAAGCTGGAGCTTGAACGCTGGTCCATGGACTCCAGACTGCCCTCATGTGACCACCCAGGCCCACATGGGTGGGGGTGGGCAGGGAGACTGAGCCCGAGGTGGATGGCACCTTTGGCAGGGAAGGCTCGCTGCTTTTGTTGAGGCAACATCCACACAGGCACTGGGGTAAAAGTAAAAGGCTGTGGTCTCAGCCTCAGGGGCTCAAGCCTGATACAGGCCTGGCTCCTTGAGCAGCCTTGATAAAAAGGAACGTCTCTCAAACCCAGGAGGCCCTCGATGGCCGGCTGGCAGCCCGTTCCCCAGGGGGCTGGGGAGTGATGAAAATCTCACTGTCCCCACACGCCCCCGAGTACATGGCTGGGACGCCAGGCTTAGGACACTGGCTGGGACTACAGCCCCCTAACCTGCTTTTCTCCCAGGAGATCAGACTTTCAAAGGCCAGGATACGCCCAGGCTGGTCCCAGCAGCTGCTCCTGGACCTGCTGGGGCAAGCCCTGGGGTGAGTGCCCAGAGCTGGCACTTGCTTTGGCCTGGGTGCCAAGAAGAGAGGCCTTTGATGTGGCCTCTGTGCCAGCTCAAGAGTCTGGTTCCAGCTACCACCAGACGGTGGAAAGGGACCTTGATGGCCCCTCGGAACATCCTGGAACAGGCAGGCTGGAGAAAGGGTACCACACCCGCCTCCACCCTGTTGGTCAAAGCTTCCTTCAGACTCTCCCAGGCAGCAGGAGGAGAGTGAGAACAGGGTTGCAGGGAGATGCCTGGGGAGATCAGAGCTGGGAAAATAGCCCTCCACCCCTTCTCCTCCACTCCAGGCAGGTGTGCAAAGCACAGCCAGACCAGCCGCTTCCCTGCCTCCCACGCCGCCCACAGGGCTGGCTGCTCACACGTTCCTCAAAGCCGCACCAACCCCAGGAGCTCAGGCTTCTGAAGCAGGAGAGCCCGTCCTATCCTCCCCTTGTTTTACAGGAGAAATGGAAGGGAGTCTACAAGGAAGGGCAGATCCTGGATTCCTGGGCATTAAGAGAAGGCCCACCTGCTCCAGCCCAGCTGGTCTAGAGGCTGGGGTGTCCCAGTTGGCCCCGCCTTGAGGGGTGGGGGAAGAGAGGTGTCCACAGGGGA